ACTGTAGCGTAAGAGCTATGTCATTGGTTATATGCTGGTCTATGACCAAAATAAAATTGATTGATTGATTGATTGATTGATTGATCAAAGGAGGGACAATTAAACTGGGTTTAAATGCTATTACAGTACCGTAAGAGGAACCTACCTCCCTGAGGCTAAAATCTAGCTCACGTTTGAGAGTTGCTGGAAGAAAGATGAAAGAAATAAGTTTTTTTCTCTTCTGCAGTGGACCCCATTTCAGTTTGTTGACTTCCTCTTGCCTTTAGCAGCAGGAAACGAACAATTGGTTCTTAGTTAACCAGTTGACAGCACGTAATAGATTACTTTATGACTGGTCCTAATGGCAGCAGGAAGCCCAGAGATTTTTCCCCACTGGCCAGTTGGCTGCATTGATCACCTAGTTCAAGGCAAGGCAAAGTTTTTGTGGTTGGAGACCAGGGATTTTTCATTCTGCTTTTTACTGAGAAGTCATACTGTTAGTGGCACCAACTATACCCACATTTGGTTATTTATTTTAAGGAATGTTGGAAGCAGTTGTTAAGTATTGTTAGGATGAGCCAATGCTACATATATCGTGACAATGAGTTTCTTCCATTGTCTCCCTAATAATTGTTTTGATTGGTCTCACAGCACTAATAACTTGTAACTATTAGAATATTTGAAATAGGTTCTGAATGCTACAATGGACATTTTCTGCCTTGTAAGGATAATGTCTGTTCTGAATATTGACCTAGATTGGATTTTCCCAAACTGAAATGAATAATGGTCACTGATCACGTAAGGCTTTGATGGAGGAAGTTTTGAATTGATCATGAGCATAACTTGATACATTCTAGGTGATGTCCTTGTACATTTGATTTTTTATATATGAAAAAGGTAAAAGCTCTTTAATATATGGAACCTGAATAAAACATGGAATTCTTATATCACTAATACCTACTGCAGATAGCTGGGTCCCCTGGAAGGGTTGCTTTGTCACATTGTTAGCTCTCAGTCCACCATTCAAGGAAAATTGAAGGACATCATTTGTTCAAGGAGCAGTCCTCTATGAGCTGAATGAAGTTCTGTCCAGGCTTTCATCATCATATATTTTTTTTCTTTCCCTGGGGCGGTGGGTTTAAAGAGTGTGCCAGTGGAACTTTGGTGGCCGTTTGGACATGGAAACCAGACTGGATACAACATGACAGCAGTGTTCGTTATGCAGGGAGGATACAAGATCACAAAACCTTGGAAGGTATGTCAGAACTTCTGCTTAGCATTACATATAACATACAATTGTCTCTTCTCTTTTATCGCCTCTCTGACTGAATTCATACATTGCACTTTGCTAATGGTGAAAGGATCACCACACATTGCAAGATTTTGGCTCTTCTAATGCTGAAGTGGATGAGTGGAGCCTGAACTGTATCCCTCTCTCTCAATTATACACGTATTATTAACATATTGTCCAGACATTGCTGAGATATTCCACTCTACATTTGAATATTTTCATTTTGCAACCTATCTGTATTAAAGATAAAATTGTGGATTGATGGCCATGTTGGATGTCAGATTGAACATTCATTCATTCCCTGTCTGCAATATCCAGCAATATCAGCAGGATCCCTAGAAGGAAGGAGGAAGCAAATAGTCTTCCTCCTCCTCGTAACAGATCTGAAAATTCTTGGGGTTCTAGAAATTCGTCACTTTGTTTCTTTCAGAACATCTGATCAGATCAATAAGATGGTCAGCAAGAAAATCAGGCAGGTCTCCTGAATGGCTTCATGGACCATAAAGGCGTAGTGGAAGACTGCATATGATCCCCATGTCACTCACTCAGAAAATGGTCCCTGAAAGCACTGCATGCAACCACTGGAATACATCTAGCAGTTGCCACAGAATAGTGATTTTTAATAAAAGGATTTATGAATAGATCTAAATTAAAGCTAGTTTTGGTCTTGACCCTGTCCCTTTCTTTTTTCTGGCTCCACTCTCTTATTTGATATTCTGTCCTTGCAGCTTTAAGCCTGAAGAACCTGCATATTCTATGCCTACACCAGGGAGATCAGTGCAAAAGGCATTGCTTTGAGTATAATGTGGGGAATTAATCCTATCTAATATGGTCTAAGGATGGCAAAAGCGCAGCCTTCTTTTCATGTTTGCAAATAAGAATTTCCTTACTGAAATGAAACTCTTTTTTATGTATCAGAAGGAAGTGTTCTTGTTAGTTTTGTACAGGCCAACCTGTGCTGGATTCCACCCATCCTTATCTACAGCCAGCCAAGCCTTCCTTTCATCACAGTTCTGTTCCAACATAGCTAGAAAACAGCAGACTGGTCTTGAACTGAGCCAGCAATTGGGAGTGAGTAGGTTAAAATGTATTCAATTTATATCCCATTTCCCCATTTAATGTTATTTTATGTTATTTATTGCCACTTTGGGCAATAGCATTAAAGGAAAGGCAAAAGCACATTAACATATAAAAATACTATAAGTGGTTGTTTCACTGTTGCTGTTGTGATTGGCAACTTCTTGTCATCATGGAGTGATTTATTTCTACAGTGCCTGTTAAAATGGTAATACCTACGTTTTTACTATATGGTGTGTTTGGTTCTTTCCTCTTGGATGCTTATGCCTTGGGGGTGGAGTGTGAGCGGTAGGGAATAGCCTTCCCCAAATTAGCTTGCCTTCTCAAGCCATTGCCCTCCAGATGTGTTGGGCTGCCATTCTCATCCTACACAGCCAATGGTTATGGTGGCTAGCGATTATGGGAATGGTAGCCCAACCCACTTCCAATCAGACGTAGTGCTGGAGAAAAGATTTGGGACCCTTTTAAACCTAGCCTAGGGTTTCTGTAGTTTCTCTGTGAATGCAGTTTGCTTGTCATAAATATTTAGTCTAGTTGATTCATTACTTTACCCCGTTAGTAATCATAAGCAGACTGCATGTTCACAGCAAACATGCATTTTCTTTGTTGAAAAAGAATCAGGAATCAAGCAGGAACATCAGAATTTTCCAGCAATGTCTACTTTCAGGTTCCTTCTTCAACTGATTCTAATTTAATCCAACTTCATATCTTATTTTAAGAAATCTTGCAATAAGGTTGCATTATATTTCACATGGTGGTGTTGGGGAGGAAAATATCCAAATCATGCATCTTAAAGGTAAATGTTTCTGTCAAACCTGTCCACATTTTCATTTTCCCCAGGTTTATTTTCGAACAGTAGAACTGGTAGAGGAACCCATTCCTGGCTCGCCTGGTTTGAGTTTTTATTTCAGAATAAATGGACTGCCCATTTTTATGAAAGGTTCCAACTGGATTCCGGCTGATTCTTTTCCTGACAAAGTGAGCTCTAAAATGTGAGTTTAAACGAATGTTTTTTAGATGTTCGTCCATATAGGTAACTACTTGATTGAGCTTTGGAGAATTTTGAAACAGTTTTGTAGAAATGTTAATATTGCTTTCTAATGGAAGAAATAATTCTGACAGTCTAGAAATAATAAGATGCATTACAGATTCATAAATGAGGAAGGAACACAGTGAGTAAAACAAAAGATCTTTTGAAGGACTGGGAACCGAAAAGTGGCCGAGATATTTTTTTTCCTGTTTGCATGCTGGTGCTGCTTCTCCTTTGAAAAGGAATGAAAATAGCAGCTTGCAAAGATTAATTCGCTATTAACCTATGCCAATCCCCAGAAAATATGATAGCTGAGTAGCTCCCTTCAGTTCAGTGTTATTCAGTTCAGAATAGTTTAATGCTAAAATGTAGAATGCAAGATCACTACAGAATTGTGCGTGCTTTCAAATGAAATATTTGCTACTTCCTTATGTTTTTCTATGGGGTATGCATTTACTGCTCAGTAAGACTGAACTCCCACTTCTTCTTGATAGGTTACGGCTCTTCTTGCAGTCAACGGTTGATGCCAATATGAATATACTTCGAGTTTGGGGAGGAGGCATATATGAGCAAGATGAATTCTATGAGATCTGTGATGAACTAGGAATCATGGTAACCCCCCCCAAACCAGCATGTGCTAGCAGCAACTGACCTCTAAAGTAGTAGTGTAAATAATATTTTCTCTTTAAATTTAAGTGTAGCCTTTGGCTGCACAGAGGTTGCTCATTCATGTAGTAAAATCACAGGTAACAGCTTAAGCCATGGAATGGAAGGTGAGTCTTGTTGGAGCAGATCTAAAATCTAGTGCTGGATGACTAATGCACCAGTGCGGCAATGCTCAGCCAGATTGGTGAATATACTCTTCTCCTGTAGAGCAGTTTGTGAATATCTGAGGAAACAGAAAACACTGGTGCTTTTAGTTTACTGAATCTATGCTTATGTGGTAAAGACTGCACACTTCAACAGTTTATATGTCTCCCTATTCGGGAAAATGCAAACCAAATGAAGCCAAAAGTAACAGCAGAAAAATGCAGAAGTAGAAGAATGAGAGACATGAGGAACTATTCATGGTTTCTGTTTGGTTTTGGTTCTCTTGGTATCTAAAAAATGTATGATATTTAATTCTAACCCATATTATTACTAAATGCTCACTGTGATGGTTCTTTCTGTCCTTTGAGGTATGTTAAGGTTCAAATGCTGTAAAATATACAGTGAGGCAAAAAAGTATTTAGTCAGCCACCAATTGT